CTAAAAATTATTTCGCTAACAAATTTATCTTTACAATCAAGTCCACTCCAAGAAACTGTCCGATGTTTGGGCTTCAAAATCGTGCCAGGAGGGCGTGATAGAAGATGTAGCTGAGAATTTAGTAAAGGCTCCTTTAGTTTGGAGGAACTGCCTAAGATAGAAATACAAACTCTTCTTCACTACAACTTTCTCTAAATTCAGAAAGTCAAAGGCTCAGTAGGAGCCATTCACGTCCTGACCACCTGCCAGGGGACCCCAGAAGGGGCCCAGTTTCTTGCAGGCCATGATGCGGGTTCCTCGCAGAAGTCTGCACACAGAGTAGGGGCTCTCTGTAAGTGCTATCTCCTGACTGAGGAACGTCGGGCTGGAGAGAAAGCCCCAGAAAGCTGTAGGTGTAGCTTCCTGAAGATAATCAATATTCCCTGAGATGTTTTTGTTTGAGGGTTCTATTTACCATGCGGCTACCCTCCCTTGCCATCCTTTCTTTAAGGCAACCGCTAAGGCACAGAACTCTCAAAGGGGCCTGAGGCCTTGTCAGACCGCAGGCAGTATTATCTTCCTCTCTAGAGAGGAGGCTGCCTGGGGGCAGGCTTTGTGTCGGCATAAACAGAAGTGCCAGGAAGCTTGTCACTCTCAAGGCCTACTGACAGGCCTGAGTCACAAAGCAAGAACCGAAATGGAGTGAAGAGGGGGGCTTCTCACAGTTTCCCTTCCCCCAAACTCAAGATTTGCATATGATTATAAACCATTATGATTCCTTTTACTACAAACACAAAAACATCTGGGCCCCCTTTAGGGGCATCTCCTTTCAAGAAACAGGAGTGACATACATGATAATAAAGAAAATGAGACTAGACTCTGTGGAGAGTCTAGAATTAACATGGCAGCAGGAAACATGAAGATGGGAAGAAACCACCAGGAAGGGATACTGTTCAACTCATCCGGCCAAAAATCTCAAAGAATGCATTGGGCGTCTGCGATTTGCTTTTTGGGCAGTGAAACAAAGGAGCGTCATTTCACTGAGCTAGAACCTCTGGAGAACGAGGTTCGAGCTCTAGGTAAAAGAGACATGTGACGTGAAGCCGGCGATCTGACCTCTAAGGCAGTGCTTCCCAATTGGTCCCACACCACAGTACATATACAATATAGCACACTAGGGTGAGCAGACAAGACTTCAGCAGGTGGTCCCCAGGGGACTGGAGCTAGCCCAGGCGGCCCCGAGGGCTGAGGGTACACTCTCTCCGATGGGGCTGAGGCAGCTCTGGCCTAAGCTGTTGACTGCCATCACCCGGTGGTCAAGTAGCTCTGTATTTCTGTGGTTGTTACAACCTCCAAACCGGTCCGACCCTGACTCAACAAACAGGCACTACCCTAGTATCCCCCACCTCCCTCATTCTGAAGGTCCTTACGGTAAAATGATTTCTTGGAAAGGGAAAACTTCTGGATTAGCAGATTTATTGTGCATCCAAGGGCCTACTGTGTGACACAGATGGTGTCCTCTCTCACAGAGCCTCTCTAATTGAGGCGAGTGTGAAAGGGCATATTTTTTAAGGACTGCCACCAAAAATGTGGACATGGTGAAATGAGGCAAACAAAGCCTCAGAGAGAAACTCCAAACAGCAGGCTATGCCAAAAGCACCAAGGAAAAATGGATTTTTGTGAGGGCAAATGCAGGCAGCAGGCCCAGGGGAACAAACACGGTAGCTCCTGAATGGGGCCACTGAGCTGATTTATAAAGGATCTCGCCAGTGTCCCTTGCTGCGGGAGACTGATGTGCTCCTCCTTCTAAAGCTGTGGTCCACACAACTTGTTTTCTGGGGAACCAAGGAATCAACTCCAAGGATGTAGATCCATTATTTTCAAACCCTAATTAACTGGAACCTAATCAGGACTTTTGAGGGCTTTCCCCCCCCGCCCCCCGCCCACTTTGAAGGAAAACTTTTCTCTCTTAAGTCAGCATGGTGTAAGTGGAGAAAAACTGAACAAAGAGTCAGCTATCTGGATTTCTTGCATATAAGCAACTCACTTAACCTTTGGGGGGGCATCAGCTTGCCAATGTATAAATTGTGAGAGCCAATGAGATATAGATATCTAAGGTTGTTTTCAGCAATTCAACCGATTCTAAGATAAGCCAACAGACCAGTATCAATCAATAATCTGTGATCATTCTTCTACCTTGACTACCATATCCCTCCTACTGTGAGTTGAGATCACCTAATAGTGATCTTTTACAGTTTTATAGTTATAGAGCATTTCTTATATTTAATCCAATCAAACATTCTAATAATCTGATAGAGTAAGATCTCTAAGATGTTATAACAGAAGCCTTCTCATTTGATGTGCCTGAAGGAGTGGTTAGTAAGTTACTGTAGGAGCTGACTAAAGGGGAGAATCAGGGTGCCCGGGTGGCTCAGTCGGTTAAGCGTCTGATTCTCAGTTTCGGCTCAGGTCATGATCTCAGGGTTCTGGGATACAGTCCCACGTTGGGCACCCTGCTCAGCGGGGAGTCTGCTTGAGATTCTCTCTCTCCCTCTGCCCCTCCCCCCGGCTTATACTCGTGCATGCACTCTCTCAATAAATAAAATCTTTAAAAAAATAAAGAGGGGAATCATACATAAGAGATATATTTATAACTAATCATTTAACTTAATTTATATAAATGTACATTCATTTGTTTTTTAAAATATAAAGCTTTTTAAAAGAGGATAATTGGATTCCTACATTTTTTCTGAAAAATTACACTCATAATTCAGTGTCTATAATTTATAGTTTTTGTTTCTTTTTTTATATATTTGGGTTTTTTTGTTTGCTTTTTTTTTTGAGAGAGAGAGTGGGAGAGCGTGAGTGAGAGTGAACAGGAGAAGGGGCTCCATTTCACAATCCTGAGATCATGACCTGAGCCAAAATCGAGAGTCGGACCCTTAACCGCCCGAGCCACTCAGGTGCCCCTACAGTTTTTGTTTCTTTAAAAGACAGGGAGAACGTAGACATCTGTAAAGCCATCTAAGTACAGAATTCTTCCTGAATTTTATGATTTTTTCCCCTATTTTTTTTATAGCTGTCACACGCAAACAGCAGAATTTTTACAGATTCATCCTTATTGAATCTTTTCAAACAATTTCAGTTTTCACAGAAACAACTTTCTTTTTTATGCTCTTATTTGGTCAGTATATCTTATTTGAGTCAGGTAAATTGCATGGATATTTGATGCACACAGCTGCCCTGGTGGGAGCAGAGGCAGGAGGAAACCTGAGGCAGGCTGCACAGCGTGCTGCGGGCACCCACCACTGCATCCTGCACAAGGAAGGACCAGCACCGGCTGACGTGACCACCCACGAGGCATCTGGGGGAAGAGTTCACGAAGGCAGGGGGAGAGGCCTGTCAAGAGCTTGGGAAGGAGGGCAGGGCTGGAGAGACAGATTTTGGCATCATCAGCATCCAGTTAGTAGTGACAATCATAACCGTAGAGGAATTCATTCAGGGAGTGTGGATAGAGACAAAAGAGAGGGTGGGGGAGACTCCAAGGAATGAGAACCCTCTAGGGGAGAGCAGAGGAAGAGGCTTCTGCAAAGGGACCAGCAGGACATTACTGGAGATGTCCGAAGAGAAGCAGAGAACCAGGAGATGAGCTTCAAAGGGCCAAATGCAGAACAAAGTCCAGGAAGCAAGAACTGAAAAGCGTCCTTGGATCTGACAGCCAGGTAGTCCCTGGTGAGTAAGACCTGGGGTGTGTTCGTGCCCCAACAAAGCATTTCACTGAAGGAAGGCAAGGAGATACTCTGTCATCTCCTGTACTGTGGTCCCTCTTCTACTGGCTCGGCTGTCTTCATCAGCGGCCACTCTACCTCCTGCCTGCCCATCAGCATTCGTGAGCAGACAGGCTGCCTGAGCCCAGGCCAGGGAAGGAGGAGCATGAGAGCTCCAGAAGATGCCCTGACTCCCTCAAGCCCAGGCAGAACAGCGTGTCCACTTGCCCCAGTTGCTGCTAACTTATTCCTAGGCCCAAGGCCGCAACTATTTGCAAGCCCTGCTGAGAAGTTTATCACAAAAGCTAGGATGAAATGAAATCTTCAATTAGAAAGTTTTAAAACAAAGCTTTTGAGAGCCCTCCACGCTGGAAGGCTCAGACAAAGGCATCTCTGTGAGGTTGCCCCCTTGCCGGTGGTCTCCATCAGCCAATCCTGCTGCTCAACTCATTTTTCAAATGCCCAGAGACTTCCCCCAGCATATAGTGACCAGGCAGGGAGAGTAGGTTCTCGGGGGTTTGAGTAAGAAATATAAATGAGAAAAAAACCCGCACAATCCAGAACACAGGCTCTACTCTATAACGTACTGACAACTAAAGAGGAAAAGGATTCCTAAGTCATAGGAGTTGCCACACATGGAAACAGAAATGTGGTCAAGTTTGAGCGACAGCTACCTAAGTCCCATAGGGCATGGCTGCGATACTCAAGAGCAATCAGTACCATTCCAGGCCACCATGTTCCTCAACAGTCAACGTTCGCCAGTCTCCTCAGTTCTCTGCCTTTTTAAATATGAATCCAGAATTTATAAATATATGACTCTTTTTGGGAAATAAGGGATAAAAAGAAATACGTTTTTTTAAAAGCCTCATGATCAGATACTGGTCAACTACCCTGTAAACTTCCATGTTCCTGTTCCCACCTCCATTCAGAGGGATGTGAGGTAGAAACTGAGGGAAGGCTCAAATAGTGGGTTACAGCCTGGCCAGCAAAGACCAGCTGGGAGTTCTGGTCACAGGACCACCCACACAGACACCACCCTTTTGCCTTGGCTCACGTCAGTGGGTCTCATGTGCCTGTGAAGTTCGGAGGGTGGGGGAGACTTAGTCCTTGCCCACCTCAGAGAACGCTGTTTTAGTGCTGTGACTGGGGAAGGAAGAAGGGAAGATCCCAAGACTGCCATGTTGAATCTCACGCATGCTAGGTTCAAGCATAAGTCAAATCTGTTCGTTGCACGAAAAAAAAGAAGTGACTGACTTGATCCAGACGCAGTGCGCCGTCCACAAACCGTTGTTTTCGCAACTCCTTTGCGATTCCGTGGAGATTCAAGACAGCCTGGTGTACCTCCTCACTGGTGTGCTCGGGGGAGATGGGCGGCAGCTCCTTCTCAGGGATTTTCTCGGTCGGGCTTTCAATCATGCTCTGTGCATGCTCGTAGCTCAGTTTGGTACAGGAGCGAATGATGGTCCGACCAAACCATTCACCAAGGATCTGCAAAGACAGATTGTGAGGGAATCATGAGGAGAACTTTTTCCAGGCTTTTCTTTCATGCAACCACTCATCCATACACATTCTACAGAGATTTACCAAGCACCAACTTTGTGCTCAGAATGGTGTTAGGTTCCAGCTAGGCATGAAGACCGATCAGATGTGGAAGCTGCTACCCTCAGGGAGCTCAGACTCTGAGGGATGGATTTAACAGGCAGTGGAGGTCTAAGCACACGGGTGGCATAGGCAAGGCTCAGCGGGAGGGAGACTCGAGGTGAAGGGCCTGCTGGAGCGCCTTTTCATTATTTTGAGTGAGTGGTCGGTCATCAATAGCAAAACTGGAAGAAAGAGAAGGGGTGGGGGTAGAAGCCAAAGATGTGACACATGGGGACTCTGTGGAGTTGGTAATGGATCAGATGTGGGGTGAGGGAGAAAGTGGGGTCACTGACAGAAACAGAACAGGTGAGAGAAGCAGGATGGAGGCCGAAAGAGAAAAGGAATTCCAACTTGTTCTATTTGGGCCATGTATGTAAAGACAAAGGTCAAGAACAGGGTTTCTCAACCTCAGCACTATTGAGTGGACTAGTTTTTTGTTGCAGGGGCGAGCCTGTGCCTTGTAAAATGTTTGGTGATATTCCTGGACTCACCAGACATCGCCAAACATTGCAGGGGGGCGGAACTCGGCCTAGGCTGAGGCCCACTGGGCTCGAAAGATCCACCCAAGTTTAGTAGTGGTGCTCGCTCTGGTGGGATTACTGCTGATTCGTATTTTATCCTTTAAATTTGCTTGTATTTTCTATAAGGAGCGATTATTGCTTTTAAAACAAAAACAAAACAAATGTTAAAATATTTTGGGGACTCCTGAGTCTGGGGTGCAGGGAGGAGATCCAGATGGTGGGCTCTGTAGCAGGCAGCTGGGGTGTGGGCCTGGGGCGATGACTAATCTGCAGGTAGGAAGCCGGCAGCCTTGGCAGGAAGGTGCGAGAAAGAAAGAAAGGGCAAGGGAAAGTCAAGGCTGCATTCTCTACCACCTTCTCCATTTTCAGGGGCAAAAAGAGAATCTGGAGAGTGAAAACAAAAAGCAACAGAGCTCAAAGGGATAGGAAAAAGATCAGGAGTGTCCAATGTTAGGGGAAAGGGGCTTCAAGAAAGGACTACTCAAAAGCCACAAGAGACACATCCGGAGCACTTAGGAGGAGACAAGACGCTTCCCACGGAGCAGCCATTTCGGGCAGCGACCCTACGAGGTAGGTCTTATTATCCTCATCCTGCAAAGGCGGGAACTGAGGTGCCATATCTGAGGTCACAGGCTGGGGAAAGGCACAGCCAGGAACTGAGCCGCAGCAGTGCCACCTGAGTCTGAGCTCTTGGCCACTGGGGAGAGTCAAATGCCACTTGGATGTCAAAGAAGGTAAGAACAAAGAAAAATCTTTGCATGTAGCATTTGCTTATTGGTGATCTTTAGGAAGGGTTTTTAGGGGGGAAAGCAGAGAGCGGGGTGGGGCGGTAGAGTCAAATGGCAGAGATTTGGGAAAGGCTGCCACAGCGGGCCCGTCCACCCTCGGGGCAGCCAGATCTGCCTGCCCTCATGCCAGGCAAACAGCAACATCTCTTCCGTGTGTCACGATGTGAAGAAGTCTGGGAAGTCCTGGGTTAAGGACAGGTGCGTGGTTGGTGGAGGCAAGGCAATGAGTGTGGATGACCACATCCGGGGGGGTTGGCAGGACAGAGGATTATGCTGGGTTTGTGGGGTGAGGGGAAGAAGCCAGCACAAAAGGAACGGATCCTGGGCCAAGTGGAGGCACCCATCCATGAGATAGGAAGAGTGGCCTGGAGAGGAGGCAAGAAGGGAAGGGGAGGCGAGGGAGGCAACTTTGGGGGCAAGAAGTGGGGAGGTGAGAGCACTCACATCAGGTAGCCCCATTCTATGGGGCAGAAGGCAAAGGATGAGGGGGGCTAGGTGGGGCTCAAAGGCATGAAGAAGTGGAAAAGCTCTGAGATAAATACTGTGGGGAATGGATTCATGAGCAAGGAAAAGCCAGATGTACTGAGAGGCAGAGGGGGCTCCGGAGGAGGGAGGGAGGTCTAATCAGTTGTGGAACCTCTCTGCCTGGGCTTGCAAACATCCCCTCTGCCTTCCTTTTCACAGGTCAAACCATTCTGTTCACAACCTCAGAAATATGCTTCCTGAAAAAAAGCCATCTGAAGGATCCATGGGTGTTTCCAGGGGGAAAGGAGAGCGCCCAGCCCAGAGGAGCTGTCCACGCCACACAACTTCTATAGCACATGGCTGGTTACTACCCTGGAAGGCAAGAGACACCCTCTGATACCCTAACCTGCCCCCGAAGGAAGAATGAATACTCTTAAAATGGCAGCCAAGAAGCACAGGAAGAGAATGATAGAAACTACCCTCACTTTCCTTTGATTCAGTGCAAAGAGCCTCATTATAGTCTTGGATCTGTAATATCAGGCTTTAATTTTCTTTAAAAAACAAAACAAAACAAAACAAATAAAACCCAACCCTTAAACTACACTTTCTGGATTATTCCAAGAACCACTCCTAACCCAAAAATATAAGTGATTCAAATACTGTGCTCATGACTCTTCTGCTGCAGCAAGTAGGTCCTGAATTTGGCTCTCAGGAGGTGTCTGTGTGTGTGCTGAATGCAAGAGAAATTAGACAGCCAATTTGAGGTATCGTCCAACAGTCCCAGTGGGGAAGTACTGCGTGCGGGTCTCCAGAAGAGCCCCTTTCAAGGTCAGCCCATGCTTGTCCTTCTATTACATCCACATTTCCTGAAAACTCCCCACTAATGGAGTTGCTCCAAGCTCCTCTAGAATGACAGGGCCACGACTTATTCATTCTTGTGGTCACAAAGATTTCCCCTGGAGATTTAGCTTATTTCCTTTTCTCCGTTTCACTCCAAACCCAGTCAACCCTCCTCCTTCTATGTGTCCACATTTTGTTTGCCAGTCTGTCTTTAGCATGCTTGGGGAAACTTTCCTTTCCGTTCGATTCCACACACCTTACGAGCAGTTCCACAGATTCCCTCAGGTATCCAAGGCATAGGATATCTGGCCTCCTGCGGTCTGTGTCCCATTTTTCCTGGAGGACCCAGGAAACCACGGCACGCTTATACAGGTAACTGCCACACATAGGTCAGGCAGACTCCCACCACCCTGACTGGGCATCTATTTTCACGTAAACTAGTGGGCCAAGAACTGCTTTAAAAATCTAATGAAAGCCCCAGGTCCTCTCCTTTGAAACATTTATGCACCAAATTTTGCAGTAAGTTCCACAAGGTTCCTAGACACTCTGCCAACCCCAAGCCCATATGTCCTTGCTCTAAACAGAGCTTTGTTTCTCCCTCTGATTATAGTGCTGAGTGCCGACCAGAGGCCACTTTCCATCCTCAGGAGTTCTTAAAATTTATTACCTGTAACCTGGCAAAATCAGAAGTCTACCACTCCTTACCAAAGCTTGAGAACAACACACATTGGCTGCACTATCTCAGTTAGTTTGAGCTCATTTTTCCCTAATGGGCACCTCTACTCCTCTAGCTTGTTTCCTTCTCAATGATGGGCAGCCTTCTTACCAGCACACATGAACACCACCAAGTCAGATCATGGTATGGATGAGAAGTTTCCTAGAGTGCTCTCACCTTGCTTGAGCACCCCCTCCCCTTCATGCCTGCATCCTAGGAAATCTGCACCAACCTTCTTTCTGAATATACAAAGGCCTGAAATGGAAGCTCTGAAGAGCCATCAAAAACTTTCTGGCCCAGTGACTATGGCCTCAGGCAGCAGAACCCATCCTGCTTTAACACAATCCAGTGATTGTGGGAATCATCCCTGATAGACAGATTTAAAAAATTCTTAGGGTGGGGGCGCCTGGGTGGCACAGTCGGTTGAGTGTCTAACTCTTGGCTTCAGCTCAGATCATGATCTCAGGATGGAGACTGAACCCTGGGTCGGGCTCCATCCTCAGTGCCAAGTCTGTTTGAGATTCTCTCCCTCTCCGTCCTCCTGCCCCTCCCCTGCGCACGCGCGTGCTCTCTCTCTCTCAATAAATAAAATTAAAAAGAAAAAATCCTAGGCCAGGAAAACGTGGGGAGGCAGCAGAGAAGCAAGGATGCCCATCACTGCAGACAGGGCAGCAGGAAAGCAAAGACCCAAATGGGAGTGGGGGTGAGGTTCCCAGGGGCAGCACGCCTTACGGTACGGGAGGAAGGTTTCTCTCTGGATGGAACACCTCATTAATCTCCAATTTGGAAACTGTCTTCACATCAACGCCCTGTCCATAACCAGGGCCAGTGGCAGAAGACAAAAGGACAGAGTTTTTCATGGAAAAAGTAAAAAAGCCACGAGGAGCTTCATAAACAAAATCCTTCAGAAAGAAGATCATGTCCTTCTTTCCTTTGCTTAATCACGGGATTTAGGTCACTCCCTTTCTGCAGGCGGCAAGTTTCCCCGCATACGCTCTAGGACATGACTGTTTAAACATTGGATGAAATGCCGTGCCAACACCCACTGAAGGCATACGGCTGAAAGCAACCTGGTTAGAAAGGAGCGAACAATGCATACCTTGAGACCTCCTCTCTGGTACCAGGTAAGCCAGGAAATGGCACAATACTTGAGAGCACCTGGCCCCATCGGGATACAGAGCGCTTCCACACCTACTACCTTTTAGAATCTCTTCCACACATCTGGCGGGAGTGCACCGATCAGCCCATTTTACAGGTGAGAAAATAGGCTGGCGGTTTGTGAAAAGTCACACAAGCTCCTAAGTGGCAGCCAAGACTGGATCCGTGTCTAAATATGTAAGATTCAAAATTCTGTGTCATGTGTGTTATACCTCAGCTGAATATACTGTATTTCAGCTGAGACAGACAGTGAGGTAAAGGAAACAAAGTATGCCTCAAATACATATCAACTTTCTCTAACTTACAGATACAAAATTGTGAGGAAACATATCCTTTGGAAATTGTCCATTTCCACCCAAC